CGCTGTTACAACATAATAGAAAGGTTTTTCAAAAATCAAACAAACTGTTGAGATCGCAAAAATTTTAGCTTTCGAATGATTACCTAATGTCTTGGAGAAAAGTTTTGTCCAGCGAGAAAGGCCTTCAAACAATCATGTATCTCAGCACGTACATGTCGTCCCTCACGGGGTTGAAGTTGCTGCACGGTGAAACCCGGTTGGCTTTGTCCAGCTGTTTTGAAATATGGAATAAATGACATCTGACCAACTCTGTGCTACTTTTCGTCTCTATCGAGCGGGCAGTGCAGCTGTGGCGACCGAGAGAACAATTATTCTAAGTGTGCTCACAACCTCGTTTAGGCTAGAAACATTCCTTTTTTTTTTGGAATCAATTTTGAATGTTTATCACGAGGTTTTAAACAGCCGATCATATGGATTATTTTGGTCTACCAGCCGAAAGCCATCGACTGAACAGTGGTGATGGACCGGTGTCATTGTACACTATGCCATCATCACATACGCCTCCCTCCTTGCTTCAATGCAAGGCTTAATGTGGGGCGGGGGACACTGACGAGGAGGCCGAAACCTCCGAAACACCGGTGTATGGCCCTGGCGTACCAACCTCGTTTAGGCTAAAAAATTCCTTTTTTTGGAATTAATTTTGTATGTTCACAATATTCATCTGAAAAGACTAAGTGGTGATACTCAAAAATCGGCCTCAGACGGGAGTTGAACGCGTGTTTCACTCTTACCGGAGGCGCTTGCTACCAGTGTACCACCAAGGCCAACGCTTCGCGACGACTCTTTTTGCAATTGGACTATTAAAGCCGTCAGCAACCAACCCTTAACGGGTTTGGTCTGGTAAGCACATATCAGCACTAGACCCAATTGAGCTAACAGTTTCTCCTATATGTATGACCTATAGTTCTTTCAATGTTACTGCTTTCTAGCACTTGTATTGTGCTGAAACTCTCACTTAAGATGACTGAATGATACAAAAAAACCGACCTCAGGCGGGAGTTGAACCCACGTTCCACCTTATGGTGGCGCGTGCTACCACTACACCTGAAAGGCCATCGCTTTGTGTCCACTTTTTGTACCTTCACAATTCTCTTCAAAATTTCTACTTTGTTTCTAGCAAAGGCTCTCGTCTAATCATATCTCCCATTATAAATGACCTGCGTAGAGGTCAAATCATCACGAATGTGCTAAAGACGATGGACTTATCTCTGAACAGGTCGTTCGAAAAATAGGATGGAGTGTCTTCACCCAATAATGTTGAGTGATGTGCGAAACTTTGACGTCAAGCAGGACTCGAACCGCACCTCACCCTTTCCGGAGGTACTGACGGTTGGTTGCCGACATACTGATGCGTTGCAGCGTAGAAAGAGTCGCGGCAAAACCGGTATCGGTAGTGCAATTGGTTAAATCACACGCTCCCGAGAAGGGATTCGATGGGGGTTCAGTCACGCCTGACGTCAAAGCTTGCACATCACACATCATTGGGTACACTTCTAAAAAAAAGGATAAAGCTCTCGGCGTTGATCAATTCCTGAGGGATGCGCCATGCATTCGTCTTCAATGTTTGTCTAACTTCAATTGAGGTGATTGAATGCACATCTGGCCTTTACAATGACTAGCGGTGGCCTCCCGCTGAACCGAGTCAGTGCTGCTTATCCTTTCAGACAAGTCTGAGATCAGTCCGGTACCAATCTACCGACCCTGGAGAGATGAATGGATTGTTGGGCAATGAGTGCGAGATCGAACCATCGACCTTCTGCGTAACGCAGAGCACCTCTAACCACCGCGCCACATACGCTCTTGAAAAATCATACCACCGCTAAAAAGCGGTTGAATAGAAAGAATTCCTGTCAATAGGAGTACTTTTAGTCTCTTATAGAAAAGAGAGAGAAGACAAACTCGTAAGAAACTTGTTGTAAAAACGTAGATTGTGGAATTGGGAACCGTATGCTGACCCAGTGAGTTTCTTGTATGGAACAATCCGAACCGGAACTGCGTCGGCTTCTCAATGGAGCACGAAATCTCCAACACGACTCCATAGGATTGATCAAGACGGGCATGTGTCTCGTTAAGTTCTATGAATGTATGGTTTCTGGATGACTTGCCATCCGAGCACTTACTGTGCACGAACTAAACAAGACTCTCAGGAGCAAGGGCTGTGATTTAGTTACTTCTGGTCGTACATGAAACCCCGTGACCCACCAATGGAGGTGGTGGAGGCCCCGAGACCCGCCAGTGAAGGCCCCATGACTTGCCGACGGGGGCCTCGTGACCCTCCGAAAGAGGCTCCGTCATTCACCGATGGAGGCCCCATGACCTGCCGACGGAGGCCCGATCCAGCCTCGTTTCATTGGGTGATCACTCTCGTTAAGGGACTACGATACCGAATACTTGTAAGGCCGTTGTTTACGCCTTCTACGACTCATTTCGGACGAATTTATTGTTTCGTTTCCCCTACTTTCCTCTTTGTTGTTCCGCCTCTTCATGAAGGCTCTCAAGCAGTGTAACAATTGGCTTAGCACGCATGTGACTATAGCCGCGGGACGTGGATGAAATGAGGAAGGAAGCGCCCTCGTGCTGAAACAGGTGGGGTGGGTGGTCGACGACGCGTTGTAGACGACATTGCTGGCATCCACGTGCACTCGTGACGTCGCCGTTGTCCAGAAACTTCCAGTTTCCATACTGTCCCTTTCTCTCCAGCACTCTGCTTTCGTATAGAATCATCGGCCGTTCGTATGAGTCTTGAGTACCAAGAGCTCGGCTCTATACATGGTGCCAAAAACCAGCTGCTCTATGCCTCCTACTGTAACCTATTCCATCTCAATATTCAGCATGTAAGGAACATAAAAAAACCGCGGTAGTTTTGACCCCTAGGGGACAACGTGTACCACATGGGGTACACGAGTGTTAGAAAACCTTTCTCGCTGGATATAACTTCCCTCTTGGACATTTGGTATTCATTCGAAAGCTTAGATCTCTGCGACTCCAAGAGTATGTTTGATTTTTGAAGAAACTTTTTTATTACGTTGTAACAGCGAGAATAAGACTATGTTTCACACTCAGTTCACTCTATTTGTTCAGTTGGGGTTTGTAGATTGCTCTTCGTCAAACAGTTACTAATCATTCGATGGCTCAAATATCGAGGACTTCGATGCTGTAATTGGTTTTTTGAAAGGTTATCATAGAACGCTGTAAGAGCGGAAAGAACGTTACGTTTCGCACTTAAAGTTCTCACCATGCTAGAAAGTTATATATGCATGAAAAACACATGAGCATATTGAGCATGTAGAGAAAATCATGGAGGATCAGAGTACCACAAAAAATCTAAGGTTTCACTTTCCAAATGGAGGAAAAACCCTAATAGAATAAGAAAACTTGCGCGCCTCTTGCGAGTAGCGCTGTGCGATCGATCAACTGCCGCCCCTCGGGGGTTAAAATCTTCGGGAAAACTGTTCTCAAGTGAATTTTTGGACTGGAGCGCCTCGGCCGAGTGGTTTTGAAGCTCGCCGCAGCACAGACGGGGTGGAATTCCACCTCGCAACACTCTGCGGCAGTCAACAACGAACGGCTTTCGAAGCGCCACAGCCAGGGTATCCTCGAGATTAGCTCTCGAACAATGAAGTATCCTGCGACGATGAAGAAGAAGAAGAAGAAGCGAATCGAAAACTAGAAGTACCGGGATCCTTTCAATAAGAAAAAAACAGTGAAGACCGATCAAATGAAATCATGAAGTAGAGAATTTGCGGACCAGGCGGAACTTTCCAGTCGACACCGAGCCTATGGATATTTTCAATCATAGTGTGTAGGTTTTTTTTTGTAACCAAGCTCGAGGGTGTCATAATGAAAACCTTTTTGAACAGCTGACATCTCGACAGATTGCACCTCCCATTAGAGTCTGGAAAGATCACGTCAGATTAGAAAGGCTGAGAGCTCATCAAGGAAAAGCCATGCGCTACTAGGCAGTGCCAGGGTTGATTTACCCTGTCGGGACCATCGCCCCAACTCTGCGTATTTAGTATCCAACGTGTTGGGTCTAGCAATGTCGTCTATTCCCCCATCGGACCATTGTAAGACGTAGCAGGCTCCATTGTTGAGCGCCATGGTTAGACAGAACACGCTGGGGGTTAGAGACGCACAGGGTTGGGTTCATGTTCCCAGAAAGGATTAATAATCGGTCTTGAGGATTTTTAATCAACTTCTAGCTGTAGGTGCATCATCGATCAGCTAGATGTCCATAATAATCGCTACAGTGCCAGCACCACGAAGAGCCATAAAAGGATTAAGGGATAGAACTTTGGGCGTTGATCAACCCGTGATGGCTCGGCCATGCGACCGCCTTCATTTGGTAAAGTTTGAGATGATTTGAATGCTATCTGGCGCCTTTAAAATGACTCGTGTTGGTTTGCCGACATATCAAGTCTACCGCTGTCCTTCTAGAGAAATCTGGTAGCAGTTCACTCGACCAGGACGGATGGAAGGCTTGGTGAGGCTAGGGCACGGGAGCGAACCATCGACCATCGATTGATCGACCGCCGTGTGTGCCACTGAGCACCTCTAACCACTGCGCCAGCTCGCTCTTCGATGAGTCATAGTCATAGATAAAAGAGGATCACTATAGTCCGTCTCTCTCACCGTACAGCCTTTTCCCTCTACGCTTTGCGTACAAGAATTGTCCAAGCCGTTCCTGGCCAGACCTCCGCGATAAGACGCCGCTTGCGGTTGTCGCGCCATCGCGCGCGACTTTCGTAGGCGGCGCTGCGTCATTGCCGATTTCCACAGAGTTCCTCGGTTTGATGACGCGTCAGTCGATCTGATTCATTCCTTGAAGATACGTGTCTTTCCTCCTTTTTCCATCGATTGTGCTTCTGTAGCTGATCCTCCTGGCAGCACTGAAGCAGTCCGAGTCCTCTCGGATGACGTCATCATCTCGTTGACGGGGATTTCCGCGCTTTTCTTTTTTTAAAATATCTCCTTTCTTTATTTCAGAGCTATGTCGGCTGGGAAGACACGTTCGTTGATGTGTTTGAATTGTCAAAGTCCGATGAGAGTCGATTTGAAAGCGAAGCCGGAAAAGGAGAAAAACGTATGTCTTCAGTTCAATGCACGAATAGACCCAGAAATTCTTATCGATGTACGCTAGAGTCATTCTCGTAAATTTTCTTCAATTCTGGAAATGTTCCGAATTTATCCACTTTCTTTTGTTTCTAAAGATTTTCAGCCTAAATATGGTTGATAAGTAAGATTTATTCGGCTAACGACTCGACGTCTTCGGTTTTTTCAAGTCCATTTCTACATGGATTTTTTTTTGCCGACTGAATCAAAAGGAAGAGGGATAGGAAGGAGGCTGGAGCTCTTCAAGTGAATGAGAAGACTCTTCAAGTGTAGTGAAACGTAAACGAAAAATAAAGCATGGAAAAACCTATGAACATTGGAGGAAATAGTTAAATTTCCGCAAGAAATACACCAGATAATACATAAAGGATAAAGGATAAAGCTCTCGGCGTTGATCAATCCCTGAGGGATGCGCCATGCATTCGACTTCAATTTTTAACTTCGTTTTGAGGTGATTGAATGCATATCTGGCCTTTACAATGACTCGCGGTGGCCTCCCTCTTAACCGAGTCAGTGCTGCTTATACTCCCAGACCAATCTGAGACCTGTCTGGTACCAAATTACCGACCCCAGAGGGATGGATGGCTTGGTGAACCATGAGCGCGAGGTCGAACCATTGACCTTGTGTGCGACGCAGAGCACCTTTAACCACTGCGCCACATGCGCTCTTTCCAGATAATAGAAGACGTGCTAAATCAACTTTCATCTAACCTCGAAGGGATAGGGCAAATATCTTTCTTGAAGGTTATTCAGCCCGAGCGAACAGTTGAAAAGAAAGTTCTGGGACATTTCAATAAGCATGAGGTAACTCCTAATCATGTCATAGGAATGTTGCAGATTCTTGTCTGGGAAATTCCCCCCTGAAAACCGAGATATTATTCGTCTCCATTCGTCAATTTGTTACCAGCTTCCGCCATGTCCAATGACGCAATCGTTCGTGTT